ATAACATCACAGATGTTACTCAGTGTCATGTGGCTGTACCACATTGCTAATAGCCAATTAAGATCCTTTTTATCTATATAATATAACTATCGACTAACTAATAACTAATAACTAATAAATATCAGATATAAAATACAATAAAGAATATATATATAACTACTAATACTATTTATAATATACTATGCTAAAATCTATTTTGTAACAGTATCTTAGTTAACTCTTTAATATTTAGGATGGCTATTTTGATTAATGTATTATTTATGATAAAACTAGTAAGTTTTGAAGCTATTTCATACTTTTTGTTCTAGTTTCATTTGTTGGTTTTCTTTGTTAGAAGTCTTATAGAGCTTTGTTTCTTTGTGTTTTCTTTTTTTTTTACATATGACTAAGGTGAAAGGCATGTTTTCTGTATTTTCATAATATTTAGTTTGAAGACTATAAGGGTCTGCAATTGTTTCTTTTGAAATTATATTTTCTGTAAAGTTATCTATATTTCTTTCTTCTGAGGAAAAAGTTTTCTGATTAATAACCATGTTGTTTTTTTGCATTTTTTTTTTCAAGAAAGTTGTTTGTTCTTGAGAAAATTCTGGTTCTATGTCAGTATTTTGTACTGTTTCTTGTACTGCAGAAGTTTTTTTATTGAAGTTCATAGTATGTTCAAATAAGTTTTCACTAGAAATTTCTATTTGAGTCTTTCTGTTTTTATATTCTTGGTGTGTTTTCTTAGATCTCTTGCTTCTTGAAACTGTATACAGTTTTTCTTAATATGGCCAGTTTGATCACAGAAGTAATATACTTTAGGAGCTTCTTTCTATTTTATAGTTACTCTGTTGTCTTCTATATAGATGAAGCAAAAAATTCTTTTTTTAAGTTCTAGGTTACCTGTGTTATTAACAATAACTATTCATTGGTCTGTTAGATATGGTATATCTTTAATAAGCAATGGTTTAATAGATATGATCTTTCAAAGTCTTAAAAGACCTTTTTGATCTGGTTAAAAATATGTTCTTTTGCACCTAAAGGCATATTTCTAACTTTGACTGAAAAAAAGAATTTGTGTGCATCTATAGGAATATATCTATAGTATGTTTCTCTAAAGATTTTGACTTTATTAGTTACATAATGCATTAGATAATCCTGGTTTGAAAATACAATTTTAAGATAGGTCCTTAAGTCTTTTTTAAAGTATTGCTTGGCTGCAACTATGTCTTCTTCTATGTCTTTATGTAAAGAAACTATAATTTCATTAAGAGAGTTATGAAGCCTTGCAATTTTAATAATTAATACATTAAGTTTTTAGATCTAATTTGATTTCTAAAAGAAAATGCAACAAAGGTTGATTTTTTTTATTTCAACTTAGCAGACAAGCTTGTGCCTTGTTTAGTAATTGATGCATAACTTTGTATAGCCTTGCATGCTAGTTAATTATCTGAAATGTTGTTGTTATGTTTTTTATTTAATATATGACTGTTCCTGTTATTGTTTTCTTTTTCATTGTTTATTTCTTTTATAGTATTGTATATGTTTTTCAAAACCCAAGAGTTGTTTTCATTTTGGTCAATATTTTTTAGTCAGTCTTTTTTCTTTTGGATTACTACTACTGAAACTAAATTTTTTTCTATTGCTAATATCTTTTTTTGAGCTATAGTTATATTATTAAGTTTTGCTTTATTTTCATTTTCTGTAAATAAGTTGTTAGTTTTTTTTTCTTTGTTAAGTTTTCTCATTTTAAAGATTTTTTTAGTTACTAAAGATTCTACTAGTTGAGAAATCTTTCTTTTTTTTGAAACAAGAGTTTTAGCTCTTAAAAGTATCTTATTTTTAGCGTTTAGGTTTCTTTTTGATGATTTTATAATTATAATTTTCTATTTGCCTTTTCCAATCAGTAATAAACAGGAAAGAGTTTTTTTTAATTGCAGAAAATTTTTAATCTTATTGTTTATATTTATAAATTTAACTAAGATGCTTTTAGAAATAATTAGCCAGGCCTTTTTTGTATCTAGCTAAATATCTTCTAATCAGTTTAGTCTTTTCAAAATTTGGCCTAAAACATTTTTTATTTGTCTTGTCTTTAGTTGAATTTGTGTATTTAATTTTATAATTTCATCTTTTTTTTGTATTGGTATTTTTATTTTTTAACTATTCTTCTATGTTCTGTATCTGAAGTTATTTTTTATTCTTATATATTTTTTAGTTAGGTTTTAACTAGCTCTATCTCAGCTTTTTGTTTTTTTTGTATTAGTATTTCTATTTTCTAACTGTTTTTTTATATTTTGTATATCTGAAAATATTTTATGTTTTTATATATTTTCTATTTGGGTTTTAATTAGTTTTATTTTGGCTTTTTTTTCTTTATCTAAACTTTTTCTTCTTTATTTAAAAGTTTCTTTTTTTTATTTAAAACTTTTTTTTTTTTTTGAAACTTTCTCTTTTTTTTATTTTTTTTTTCTTTTTGTTTACTTAGAATATTTAGAAATAATTATATATAATTGGTCTTAATTGTGCTATCTTAATTTTTTTTATTACAAATATAATTATTGCAGTTTTTCTTTGATTTTTATTTCTATTTAGAAAGATATAAACTAATTTTACATTTTTACTTCTTAAACATTATAATAATAGAATTTCTAAAACATTACTTGGTAGCTCTGTTAGTTTTGTTATATATTGCTTTTGTTTTTGTCTTACTTTATAGTCTTTTTTTTTTGTTTTTCTTATTAATTTATCTGTTTGATTTTAATTAAAAGCAGTCTATTTGGTTTATTTTATAGATCAAATATAGTATATTATCAAATTATATACTAAACATCCAAATCTAGATAAACTTTAACTATTTTAGTAAGTTTAGTTACAGATAAATTAGTCTAAGCTTTTATTCTTGTATATAATTTTTAAGTTTTATACAAATAGTAATAGCTGTATAGTTAGTATTTAATAGTTAGCTCTAATTATAAATGTTGATTTTAACTATAATATATATATATATAATTTATTATTAAAAAATCAAATTATTTTTATATTTTTTATGATATTTGTTGTATTGTTTTAGTATATTATTTACAAAAAAATAGTAAAAAAATTAAAAAAGAATTATTTTTTAAAATAAAATATATTTAAGAATGTTGCTAACTTGACATAACCCAATCACATGATAGCAATAACTTAGTAATATAACCTGATCACATGACAACACTAACTATAGATGACATGACTATGCTATCCAATAATGTTTATCTTAGAACATTAAAGACAGTTTTATAGATGAAACTTTGAATGCAAAGATTTTTGTCTCAACTAAGCTATTATATATTTTGTTAGTGTACCAATAATATACATTTATATAACATTATATACATGCAATTTTACAATAATAGTAATGAACAACAAATATTATATACTGTACCCAATACTTGTATAACAGTATAAGTAAAACAAATGCTTTATTTAAAATTCACCATTACAAATTCAGATATGTTGAAGCATAATGGCCTGCTTGTTTACATTTATAACAGTGTCTAACACATTTTGGATTGCTATTGCTAACATTTTGATTCAACTCATTATTGCTATTATTGTTATTTAAAATCTGATTAGCCATATTGTCATGAAGAATTCTTATTTTTTTTTTTGATGATCCTTCACCTTCTGATTTATAATGGTTTGGTTGGCACCCTTTGTGCCTTACATATATTGGATCATCAATATCTAAATATTCATCATCATTAATATTTTCTTGTTGTCTTTCTAAATCACTTTTCATTATTTTAATAAACTTTTCTAAGTAATTAATGAATTTATCAACTTTATTGATCTGGACTGCATAGTTAAGTGCTTTTTTCGCATAGCCTATTCTGAAACTGTATTTTTGTTTAGGATTTTGTTTTTGCACAATATGAGTTGTCTTTCTGATATTTACAAGATGATTGAATTGTAATAGTTGAGAAGGAAGTTGGTCCAATTTGTTTGCACTAATTTTATGCAGCTTTTTCTATCATTATACCATTACTATGGAATTAATGTAATATGAAAGCATGTGTTTTGAGAGTAGGACATGATTCTAAAAAAGTGTTTGCAGACAATGCCCCAATTGATGAGCCAAAAACCAGGTATAAGTGAGAACTATCATCAAGCAAAACAATGTACTGAGGCATTGTCTGCTGAGATCGATGCCTAACTACTTTCTATACTTCTAGAACATGATCTAATATATTGTCAACTAATGATAAAAATAATGCTTGTGGTTGGTCATAATCATTTTCTCTACCTTGTAATTAGTCGTAATTAGTCATAATCATCTTCTCTATCTACCATCTTCTAAAAAAAGAAAAAAAAACTTGAGCTATATAATACTCTAATCTACTAACTTAACTCTAAACACATATTTGACTAACTATTATCTCTAATAATTAAGTCCAATTATTTACTAAACATACATCATAGCAAAGTGATTGTGATATCTGGTCATGTTGTTTTTGAAATATTTGTAGAGAAAGATAATCATGCAATAGCTTATTTAATTCAGGAAAGTATTCCTTCATTATATTAGGCATTCCTTTTGTTGGTATTTCATTTTTATATTTACTAACTATTGCTCTTTCTGCTTGTTGATTAAATACTGTTTGAATTTTATTTACAACATCAACTAACCATGAACTCTGACTAAGCTTTACTTCAATTACTTTGTTCAAATTCTCAGCACAAGATCTGCATACACTCTCTCCTGAACACATGAGTTTTGGAGTAGAGTAATTCTTTTGTTAAAAATAAGAGCAAACAACAAGACAAAACCGGCTAAAG